TATATATATATATATATATATATATATTAACATGATGAGTATTATTTCGAGCCAAAACGAGCCGAACACGAACGAACACATCTTTGTTCGTGTTCGGCTCGTTAACTTATCGAACAAAATTAACGAGCCGAACACGAGCTTCTTAACGAGCCGAACACGAGCTGTTCACGAACAACGAGCCATTTTGACAGCCCTAGTTCAATCGTCACCTTCTATTACTTAAAATAAAAATGAGACCTATCGAAATACAGAAATCAGACAACGGACACAGAAATGAATACACTGTTTGTTTGGAATAATTTCATTTACATGCTTGCTGAAGAAAAGAAGTAATCCCACTCATGCTTCTCCTTCCCACCCAGATAAAACTGCCAGCTTTCCTCCTCATCACCTTCACTAGACCAATTCTCATGTCTCCTCCTAGTCCTCCTTCTCTCTACTCTCTGAATCACCCCTTCCACAGTCACATCAAACGCATCCTTCACACTCTCCATCTTCCCTCTAGGATCCCCATACACCAATCTCGGAATCAATCTCACCACTTCTTCCCTCATAGCCCTCACCCTCTCCTTCCCAAACCTCACCAGAACATCCTCAACTTTCACCTTCCCTTCCCTCACCTCTTTCTCCGCTATGAAAACCGAGTAGGAGCTGTAGTTCCTCGGCAAATGCCAGTAGTACTGCACGTAAGCTGAGCCCGGGTGGAAGAACACCGGAATGCAGCCTGCCACCATGGCGTCGAAAGCTGAGCGCCGGGTGTAGGAATCGCCTTGCGGTTGGAGGCAGAATACTGAGCTCTGAAATAGCTTCATCACGCTCTCCGGCGAGTGGCACCGCCTCTCGCTCGACCCGCACTCCAGCAGGCCGCACCTGCAGCATATCAGACCACAGGACATTAATCCTCAGGAGCTGACAAGAATATTTGTTCACTTCAATTAACAGTATCATTTATAAATAATTCACCTCGCCGAACCCTTGCACTCCTCCGTGAGCCGGCCACGTATATCGTCGGTCCTGTTCGGCCGCGGGGCGCCGGCGAAAGAGAAGAGCAACTGGCGGCGCAGCCGGCCAACCCTTTCCTGCCACGCAGCTACATCCCGGACCGTACTGGGGTGAAAGTACGTCGGGTACGGCACCGCCATATCATTGGTGTGCCAAGGGCTGGACTCGATCACAAGCGCCGTCATATTCAACACGGCCGGCGAAAGCAGCAGTTTGCTACCCCACTCGTTTTCGCCGTCCGTCAACCGCCGGAAATCCCATGTAATTCTACCGGCGACGAAGAAATGATCTCTGCCTCCCATGACGGCCCATTCAGGCTGAGAAGTGAGCCATCGTGTCAGGTCGTGAAGGGAGGAATCTCGAACCGAGATGTTGCCGGCGGTTGAGCCGGACCAGAGGTGGCGGGAGATATCGAGGCCGGCGTAGAACGGGACGAAAATGGCGGTGGCTTGGGATGAGTTGGTGGTGAGGCAGGGATAGCGGTTGATGCGATTGTGGAAGATGAGTTCGAGGGAGAATTGGTTGGTGGAGTAGCAGGTGGAACAGGGGAGGATGGAGGAGGGAGGGAGTGGAGGGCCGAGACCGGAGTTGGAGAGGAGGAGGCACATGTCCGTCCATTGGCTTAGAGAGCGGCAGTTGTGGAGGAGGTCGGTGTTGAAGCGAGAGGGGAGGTTGTGGATGTAGATGTAGCGGTTGGAGCAGGGGTTCATGGGTGGGGGAGACGGAGGGGAGCGGAGGTGGAGGAACTTGATAGAGAAGAGGAAGGGAATGAAGAGGATGTAGATGAAGTAGGGGTAGTGGCGGATGAAGAAGGCTGCTGCCGCGGCGGCGGTGATGCGGCGGCGTTTGGTGGAGAATTTCTCCATGGAGAAGGCTGGTAGGATGGATGGGACTAGGTATACTATATGAAGGGTTGAAGGTTGGGTTGTGAATTGTGATTGGCATAGGGAGTTGACCGTTGGTAGTCTGTTAGAGGAGAGAAAAAATAATTAAGGATGATGGGGGTTGGTAAATTGAAAATTTTATTTGATGATTGTTTGACTTGAAGTGATAATAATGTATCCTCAAATTGTTAAACTTTCTTTTTAAATGAGTAGAATATGTAAATAAGCAATTAAAATTGACATTGCACTTGTTTTAAAATAAAGTCATTAAATGTGAATGAGGTGAATTTCTATATTTTTAAAATTTGTAGGATTTATTTTGAGATGAATATAAGAGTTTGTTGGTTGTTTATGTATTAAACACATATGAAAATGTATAACTATTTTAAAATCATTTGTAGATAATTTTGAACAAGATTCTTAACTTAGAGTCCGTTTGGGGCAGCTTATAAGTGTGGACGGCGTTTTCAAAACTCTGTTGTACTGTTTGGTTCTCGCGTTTCACCAGTTTATTAGAAACTGTGTTTGAGTTTTTACACTAAACGTAGGCAGCGGGTCCCCCCTGCGGTCGGCCTGCGTGCTGCGTTTTAAGATAAGCAACTTATCCTGAAACACACAAGCTGCCCCAAACGGACCCTTAGTTGTAAATTATTATTCCATTATTTCAGCTCTCAATAGCTTGATGTATACTCAAGTTTGTGTAAGATTAGACATAACATTCATAACCATGATATTAAGAAGATAAAAGAATAGTATAGACATATATTCCTAATGAGATGCAGAAAAATGGATGATTCTTTCGAGGTACCAAGGGTTACATGATTATATATGTAAATACCAAAAATACTAACATGAATTTCAAAGAAAATAAAAAACCAAGATGAAAATGTCTACTTTTAAGGTAAGAAATCAACTGACGGTTCAAGGCATAACAGGAAGCCGCATCTACAAACCCAAGTTGGATACAAGCTCCAGAGATGGTTCCTCGCCTGATAGTCGGAAGACTTGTCGAAAGTGAGGCGTGAATCATCCCGACTCATCTAATACCCAACATGGGTTGCAACAAGATCTACTTAAGATCTTTCAAGATTGAGAGATCTGGCTAAGGCGATGAACCAACCAGATAGGCGTGACACGAGCCCTGTAAGACTCGAGCCGAATGGAAAATGAGTCACGACTTGCTGTGAGAAAAACGGGTCGATCACATTCGGCCGACCAACCCTGCATCCGGACCAAACGACCATCTCACAACCAACCTCTCCGATCGACTGTGCCAAAAGACATTGAGGAAGATCGCCATACGATCAAACACCTTGACGGACTAACACGTACTCCGGAGGGCACAAATACCGCTCGAGTGGTCGACTCAGTCAGTTGACTTCAAGTCAGTCGATCAGCCAATTACCGTCAATGTTGAAATTCAAATTGCAATATAAATATGACGTAAAATCTATACAATCAATTTGAGCCTTACTAACAGTAAGAACTATTTTCATAACCATTTCCTCCATTCTGTCATTGTACAAAACACTTTTTTTATATGTACGGAGCAAAAATACGAATAAAGATATATTTTTCCTCGATTCTCCTAATAAAGATCCTAGAGTTATTCTACTCTCTCTTTCTTCTCTCCTTCACCCAACTCTAACTCTTGAAACGTGATTTATAAAGGACAGACTAGGCTCCTACAATATACAATGGGATTAATAGTTTAGAGGTAATTGACTACTCTTATTTTGATTGTTGGCCACAATAATTATAAGAATTAACTCTTGGGTATATATCTCTTTATATTCGCTCGCGCATATATGCCTTTGAGAAGCACCAAACACTTTCACATAGTTTTTTATGTGTACAATTTCATTGATATGATCAACACCATTAAATTGAACCTAAAATAATGTAGGATATGATCAACACCATTTTTGTCCTTGTTATCAAGCACAAATGATTATGGATATTTAAGAGTATTTACTATATTATTAAATGTTGAATTAATAAAAAAAATAATTTACTAAATATTTGAACTTATTCTATTCACAAATCTCGTCACATATTTAATATGATCCACATTATTCAAAATATTAAAATCATAGAAGATGAAGACTAAATATGGAAGGTGTGATATGTTCTCACTATTAATTGGATCAATGAGATATTGCTATGATCCTTTTTACTAAGTCTAGCAATCATGAGCATATTCAATCGTATTAAATGACAAAAATAAATGAGAAAATATTTTTTATTTTACTTTATTTTTTAAAATTATGTAAATAAATAAGAAATTTTAACTGTCAATATGTAATAAAATAATTTTTTGACATACTTAGATAAATTAATATATATTTTTTTCGTGAAATACAAGGAACATGTACAATTCAAACCCATAACCTCATCATAGAAGACAACACCCTCTTCCAATTTACTTTAAATACATTAAATCAATATTGATGTCTGCCAGAAAATTTACGGCGGTAGAGTGATGGATTATCATCTTAGCGTTGCATAAGAGTTCAACACACACGTGTGAAAGAAAAAAAAAACAGTAATTACACCAGAAAATTTTACGTTAAAAACCTGTGAAGAGAAAAAACACAGGGTTTGACCCAGTTGTAAAAATTCACTATTAGTTGATGATTACAAAGATTTTTTATCCTACAAACGAAAAAAGGGTGAACCTATTTTTCAACTTATAGCGTCGGCGTCTGATTGGTGGTGATCGACGACGATTTATGGTAATTGACAGTGGTTAGCAGTGTGCGACAATAATCAGTGGTGGTTAACGATGAGAATAGTGCTTGACAGTGGTTGATGATTGTTAACGATTGACGATCAACGTCGGTTGACAGATGTTAACGAAAGTCGACAATGATCGACAACAGTCTACAGTGGTTGACGATTCCGAAAGCTTCATGTTCTCTCTCAAGGCTCAAACACTTTATTTATAGTAATTTGTGTATAATTAATGCAAAAATATGAACCACTTTGATTAAATAGTCCGGAGAGATTTCTTCAATCAAACGATGTTTGATGGGCATTTAAGTGCCCGAACGATGTATGAATTGAACAATCTTGGTATCGTTGGATTTGTCTTGTCAAGACGTTCGATCTAATTGTAACTTGTTAGATTGGACATCAATTTGACCTTTAAAATATGTGCAAAAATTTTCTAAATATAATTTAATAATTTGAAGTGGGCTTGATTTCACTCAGAATGAGACTATTTTTTATATCATTTGGTCGCCGCTCAGTTTGAAATTCATGCTTAAAAATTGAAATTTGGGTGATTTGATATGTTAACACATCCGAATTGGGCGCAAGGTCTTAAAAAAAATAAAACATTTTGAGTCTGGCCTCCCCTGCGCATCAAATCGGATCGAAGGCAGCGATCTGAGAAATGTTTCCCCAATTCGGGGCGGCGACGGCTGACAGTCTCAGCCGGGCCTCCACTCTTGTCTACCGGATCGGCACTGATGCCCATCTCTACGACGATCCCGATGACGTCAACATTGCTCCTCTTCTCGACAGCCGCTTCGACTCCGAGAAGTGCGAGGCTCTCAAGCGCCTCCTTGCCCTCATCGCACAGGGTGTTGATGTCTGCAAATTCTTCCCCCAGGTTTGCTCCATCGCCCTTCATTCTTCATCTCTCTTGAATTTGGGCGGGACTCACCGGCTCTTTCAGCGGCGTTACAGGTAGTGAAGAATGTGGCGTCTCAGTCGCTGGAAGTGAAGAAGCTAGCTTATCTTTATCTTCTCCACTATGCTGAAAAGTACGATTCCTACATGCTGATACTTTTGTTCAGTGATGTTTCGTATGATAAATTGTAATTTTCCATGCAAGTTTTTTACCAACCAGTTTACTTTCCATTCACCCGCTATTTTTCTTCTGGTTTTCCATAAATGGTGGATTCATTAGCTTTGTCAAAGGCTGGTAACATGGTATTCTTTTTTGTTTGCCCCTAATCTGATGACCAGGCGCCCGAACGAAGCTTTGCTATCAATTAACTGCTTTCAGAAAGACTTGTCGGATCTAAATCCTTTAGTTCGAGCATGGGCGCTACGCTCCATGGCTGGAATACATCTACATATAGTTTCTCCTCTTGTTTTAGCAGCCATCAGGAAGTGTGCAAGAGATCCATCTGCCTATGTAAGAAAATGTGCTGCCAATGCTCTTTCTAAGTTACTCGACTTGCTTCCAGAGGAAAATACTGAACTTGAAGAGGTTTCCTTTCATTTTCTCTTTATTAAGCTTAGAAATGCTCTTTAATTCACTTGAAGAATCAACACTAACTTATTTTTTACACTTCAACATATTTATGCAGCTGGTCAATATCTTTCTAAGTGACCATTCACTCGTAGTAGTTGGAGCTTCTGCAGTTGCCTTCAAAACAGTCTGCCTTAAAAATCTTTCACTCATTGGCAAACACTTTAGAAGGTTGTGTGAAGCAGTTCCAGATATCGAAGAGTGGGGGCAGATTACACTGATTGAGATTCTTTTACGTTATTTGATAGCCAGGCATGGACTTGTAAGAGAGTCTGTCATGTTCGCTTCAAACGCTACAGAAAGTTTCCATTCTAATTGGGATTCTAATGGTCTATCTCGTAAATTTGAGAATCATAGCAGTTCTGTTGAAGATGTTCCTTATAACTTCAATGGAAGCTCATTGATGTTAAAAAATTACATAGAAGGATGGGAAGAATATTTATTGCAATGTGAACGTACAAATGGAAATGCTGTCGAAGATCAAAATCAGCAGAAGGATGTGGTTCCAGCATCCGTGGAAAATGATGATGTGAGGATTTTATTGCAATGTACACTGCCTCTCTTGTGGAGTCAAAATAGTGCAGTTGTGCTTGCTGTTTGTGGTGTTCATTGGATTATGGCACCAAAGGACAAAGTTGACAGGATTGTAAAGCCAATTCTTTTTCTCCTAAGATCATTTCCTGACTCGAAATATGTGGTATTCCCTCACATTGCTAACATTTGTTATCTTAACATCTCTTCAACAAATTTTGCTTGATTTAGCTGTTTGGAGCCCATTATGGTGACCTCCAAATCACATAGCCACAGTTTGACACTTGCTTCATTTCAGTATACAACAAGTAACCTCTTTTAGCCTAAGTTCTAGTGGCATGGAAGAATATTTGAAAGTTATATTTGAATTTTCTTTTGAGAATTTGAGTCATAATTGCTACCATTATCATTTAAATTCTAAATAGGTAAAGATTAAAACCTTAAAACTACCTTTTTGGTTTTGATTTCTAATGATAAAGGTTAAGAACATTTTAATATTGGTGGATAGGAAGTCATAAAAGTTATGCGATATTCATCGAGTGAATACTAATTTATTGTTTCTCAATACAAGTAACCTCTTTTAGCATTTTAATATCTCTCGATTCTAATATCATTAAGACAGTCAAATGTCCATCAAACGCTGTCCAATCAAGGGGATTTTTTTGGGTCGTTCGATCAAAAGTGCTTTGGGTTCCTCCCTTCATATTTGCAATTTAGACTCTATAAATAGAGCTCCAAACCCCTCATGAAAGGGGATCGAGACCTAGAGCCAGAGAGAGAGCAAAGCATGCATAAGAGGGAGCTGTAGCCTAGCCTCCTACTTTGCCGTCTCAAGCCATCGTCGCCTTTCGGCCGCCAGGCCACCATTGTCACGTTCTTGCTACTGCCTCCCTCTGCCCGTTGCCGCCTTCTGACTGCCACTGCCTTCCACCTGCCGCCGTCGTTTCAGGCTGTCGTCGCCTTTCGGCCGTTGCCACCTTTGCTGCCCTCTGGCCACTGTTGTCACCCTTTGGCCACCGACGTCACCATCTTCTGGCCGCTATCTTCTTTTGATCGTCTTTGACTTTCGATTATCGTTGCCTTCTGGCCATCGCTGTAGTCTCAGGCCCCCGTCGCCACGTTCCGGCTGCTGCTACTCTCCAGTCGCCGCCGCCGCCTTCTTACAACCTTCTTCGTTTCAGGCCGTCGCTGTCACCGCCTTACGACCGTCTTTTTCTCAGGCCGTCGCCGCCTTCTGATCTCCACTGCCTCTGCCGCCACCATCTTAGGTGGTCGTCGTCACCGCCGCCTCCGACCAACTTCAGTCACCACACCCTCGAGCCACATTCATTGCTGCCTCTTTCAGTCGTCACTGCCTTCGACCTTCACCGCCGTCTCCGGTCATTGCCACCTTGGGCCACTGTTGCTGTCCGCTCCCTACTACGGAACAACAATTTCTTTTACGTAGAAACATTGTAACCCAATAAACTGTGTAACCACTTCTCGCCAGTGGGACGAGGTGGTGTACCTATAATCACCAACCACAACATGTGGTTCATAGTTCATGCAGCTCCAGATTTCGACGCCATGGCTTACGGACGTCGTCACAGCTCTCCACTACGACCTGCATGACCAATTACGACTTACGTGATACATAGCTCGTACAATTTCCAACTCCGACCTACTGACGTCGTCACGACACGCCACTACAACTTACGTGACCAACTACGACATACGTGGTTCATAGCTCGTGCAATTCTTAACTCCGGTCCTAGAGGCCTATGACCGTCGTCCCAACTCGCCACTGCAACGTATGTGACCAAGTACGATCTATGTGATTCATAGCTCGTGCATCTCCCGACTTTGACCCCTACGACCTATGAACATCTTCATAGCTTGCCACTATGGCCTATGTGGTTCATAGCTTGTGCAATCGCTAACTTCGGCCACTATGAACTATGAACGTCGTCGCAACTCACCACTAAAGCTCATGTGACCAACTACAACCTACGTCCAACTCCAACTTACATGGCTTACAACTCTTGCGGTTTTCTACTACGGCCTTAGCGACCAACCGACGCTTTTGATACAACCATTTGTATATTACATGACCAACTACTATCATGGAATTATAGCCTATAAAACAAGTTGATGCTATGACAACGATGAACCATCTACAACATTTATTACAGACTACTGCCTCCATAACAACGGACTATGGCTCTTGCAGCATACTTTCACCGAGAACTATAATTATTACAGCTAGACTATGACTATTATCGACGTACAACTGTTGTAAATTTCATCTATTATTTATATTCTTCTTATTATACATAATAAAAATAGAATTTTAATCTATCATATTTAGATATAATTTTATCTGTTAATAATTGATATGTCTTCAACAAATTTCTAACATTTAGAAGAAATCTCGAGGCATGGCGCAAAATTAGAGCTATCTTTAATTAAGGAGAAGATGGACTCATGTGCGCAAAATTACATAGCAGATCATTTCAACTTGTCAAGGCCCCATGATTTTTTCACTTTTTCAGGGTTTTTCACATAAAAAATTTCTGGTGTCGCGACTGATCGCTTAATTCTTTCTAAGTGTGTGTTGGATTTCCATAGTATGTGAAGAGGATAATCCTTTACTCTGCCGTCGCGAATTTTCTAGCACACATCAATAATTTTGCTTTTTAATTGCCAATTTAAAAATATTAAAATTACATATCACACTCAATCTCAGTTCAATTAATTCTAAGCTCTTTATCATTCAAACATTTTCTCATTATTCTAGCTTTTCATGCGTTTTAACAAAATCTAAGCAAATAGAGCTGCCCCATTTGCAAAAGCATGCACCAAGATAATTCGTTCTAAATATTCTTTATAAGCCATAACCAATACAAAAAAAGATACTGATTTCATTTTAATCATTTTCTTCTACAATTGAAAGTTTTATAGTAACATGACAACTTTTATGCCAATTTGCGCTCCATCATTGTCATCTTTAATCATTTTATTTTACTATTGACATACTTTTTATAATACATCGAATCAATTCTTGTTGTACTTGATCACATGTAATCAATAATAATTATAGGAATTTTCTTTTTTTACTACTTTATTTTTTAATTAGTTATCTTGACACAAGTTATTTTAATAAATACTCTTTCTGGCATTAACCAAATTGATATTTTGAAAGTATAATGATTTTAATTTATTTATTTACGATTATTGTACTCCATAGCTTCATAGTATGGTTCATAAGGTTGATTCTTCATGGTTAACATAATCTTGAAGATTTGAAATTAGAACTATTTTCTTAATTTAATGTTAGGTATGATCTTCAAAATGTTGGGTAGCATTCTAGTTTAATTTTTGGCCCGGTTTTCAAAATATTTGGTAGCAGTCTTTCCTCAATGGTTTGCCCTTTTCTTTATAAGTTGGTTTATGAAGAAAGAAATGGTGAAGATCTTTGCTCGTGGCATGCTCCTTGCCATCATTTGTTGAACACTCCCATAACTTGATTTTTTTCCCTCTTATAGATTTTGCATAAGGATGTGCAAGTGATAAGTTTTTGAATCGGCAATTAATAGCTGGCTTTCGTTGTAAAAAAAATATAAATAAGTTTTGTGCTTGCCAAAACTTAAAAGATTTTTATTTGTGTGACTAGTGAACTAGAGCTATTCTATCTCCACTTGTCAAAACTGTTTTAGTCGAATATTGACAAAATTGAAATTACGCCAGTCAAGGAATTTATTGAACTCAATTATTGGGGCAATAGATGGCTTAGTCAACTATTGAAATATACTGCCTAGTGGTTAACTTGTTATAAGTACAGATGACTTGGCATACTACCGCCTATTCTAGCATCGAGGCTACAAGCAAGTCAAGCCAACAAAAGGTTGTTAGAGCATGAGATTATTTATCTAAATTTGTTCTGTTTTGGTCGAGCATGTTTAGAGATCTTTCATTTTGTGATTAACGAGCTTTAAACGAGTGACTTCTATAGTCAAATACAAAATCCTTTATATGCCTATCTTATTAAGCTTAGCAAATGTAAATGAGTTCTATTTTATGAAGGCAAGCTTGTCATGTTGTTTCTTCGGTGGATGCTTTTTTTAGCATTAATCTTTAATTTAGCTTTATAATGAGCCTTAATTGAGCTTAGTTATCACATGATAAAGGAGCTCTAATCAAGCCATGCTATGAGTAGCTTATCGAATATTTGATTCACTTGCAGTTATATATGGAGTTACAAAATCCGATTACTCAATTATCACAATGTCTACTTAAAGCTACTTGGATTAGATTGTTTGTACAATGCATAAAATTTAATTGATCATGTCAGATTTGAGATGGAAACAACAATCTAATATAGATCAGCTTATCCGCTTAAATCAATCTTCATGCCTAAAATAATTGGTGGGAATGAATCTAAATTTTAAAGATTTCTTATAGCAGTCCTTAATAAAATAGATGTTAGAAAGGTGGGGACATATAAATCATAAAGTGTGTCAGGCTGAATGCATATATAAAACATAATGCATCAAATTGGACTTCATTTCATCAATGAGCTATCAATGCCTTGAAGTTTTCTATGTCTACCTCATTGTAAATTCATATGGAATACTTAACTAAGGAGTTCTGCAAATCTTATTCTAGAATCTAGCATAAATAATGAGATTGTGTCCCCATTGCTAGTGGATATCAAATTTATATTGTGCATTGACAAAACAAACATTCTTGTGACTACTGATGTAATACTTTGTGAGTGTTACGATAATTATTGTTAGATTTGCTTAAGAAAATCATTTAATTGTTCAATGAAATATCGAATTCCTTTTAAACTTGTATGCTACTTGGATAAGAATTTTTTGAGTGCAGCATAAGTACTGACTAACAAATTTTTGCATGAGGGCTAGATCTTCTTCTTGGTGATTTTTTTGTTATTATTCTTATCTACATAATTTTGTGAATAGTTAGATTTTTTCTATTTAGTGAAATTTCCTAGAGAGTGAAATTTCCTAGAGTTGGATTTTTTTTTTTTTGCGATGTGAATTCATATAGATGATTTTAAATTATATTTTTCTGCAAATCGTAGATGATCTCTCATTTTCATTAAAGGTATGGCCTTTTTTATTAAGTTAAAGTTGTTGGAATGTGAATTTGATTTTGATATATTTTGTATATCTTTTCCTTGTTGTACACTAGAATATCCTTGGTCCTAAGACATTTTTCATCACAAAAGCGAATGATGTAAAAAGGTAATGTCATGGAGACTTAATGCTAAATGTTTTAAAATGCCTATACCCATTAAACTCTAAATTCGGCTATATTTATATAAGTGATTTGAGTGTTGGGAAACAAAAGAAGTTATGATAATCAAGTTGAGTTTAGAAAAAATAAGAATGTTAAAATGGCTATTTAGAAAATAGATTGAGGAATAATTATATTGAAGGGGCAATGGATAATGAAAAATAAGCTTATGTGATGCAGACGTATATGGCTGAGCATAAGTCATGCATCAACAAGGTAAGCTTCTATATTATTATTTAAAGATTAGAAGGAAAAGTTGGAGGTTAGAGGTAAACTTGTTAGGAGTTTTGGAAAAAATTACACAGAATTTAATTAACATTTCATGCCGAAAATGAAAAATGTTGCTTTTAATAGGAATGCTTGGAGGCGAATTCATAATGTTGATCCAGGCAGTTGATATTGGGCTATGATTATGATAAAAAGCAACATCCTGGAAGGTAGGATAATTTGATAGTTTGAAACCATGCTGGAGCTCTAGTAACAATTTTGGCTGAATTTGGAAAAATTAGCTGGTTCCAGAAGCAATGCTTTCTTTTGCTTGCTTTTTCTTGTCATTTACTTTTTGAAAAATAATATTTTTGATGATATACAGCCATCATTAACCTTTGTATATATGAAAGGTATTATTATCTTTTCTAGTTTGATTTCCTTTTTTAAATTCATTACTAATGGGTTTTTTTTATACCTAACACCATTGATATTTGAACTGATGGTTGCTTTTTGCTACTTAGGTGCTTTGTAACATACAGGTTTTCTCCAAAGTACTCCCTTCACTCTTTGCACCTTATTACGAAGATTTTTTTGTACATAGCTCTGATATTTACCAGATTAGAGCTCTTAAGCTTGAAATACTCTCCGCCATTGCGACGGATGCTTCGATTCAATTCATTTTGGAAGAATTCCAGGTAACGAGTGGCTGCCAGTTTTGCTAGTCATGATATCTTTTATTCAATGAGGTGCTTAGACCCTGTGATAAATTAAATCAAGGGGCACTTACATAAATAGCATGCCATTCTTATTTATTTACATATCTCACACCTAAACTTTTATTTTCATACACATTGCAATTAAATCTTTAATATCACAACAAAAATAGCACTATTACCACTTTTTAAAAGTTAAGATTTAAAGCAACAAAATGTTATGCATGTAAATATGAAAGTTTAGGTGGAGATATGTAAATATATAATAATTGTATGGTAGCTAATGAAACACCCCTAAATTATATTAATCAAAAGCATGATAACATTTTGGAATAGTGAATCTTCTTCGGGAAAGAAAATATATGCTCTATATCCAGACCTCTGCATCAGGTTATAATTTGCAAGCCAAATTAATTGCGCTTGCTGCATACGTGTGAGGAAGGACAGAAAGTAAACAGATGGTTGAACTGAATCTATAGATAACCAATGCTAAATAATAGTTGTAGTTTAGCTATGAGAAAGCTCATATTCATTTTTCCATTTTTCAGCATCTTTAATTTATTTTCTTTCTCTGGACTTTGAAAAAGATTGGCAGGGAAAATTCTATCCAGGAAATAGTTGTATCGTTTCCATATGAAGAAAATTTGATATTTTTTTCATGTTTCTTCATATTACTTTCTTGGATGTTAACTAATACGATTTCTGGATAGAATTGGTTTGGATGGATTAGGAAGAAAAAATGGTGGATGCTAACTCATGTTAAATATCTTGTATATATCTGTTCCTTTTTGGGTGTATAAATTCTAACTTTTTTCAAGAATTTGAGGGCATATTCAATTCATGTTGAACAGGGAAAAGTTAAGGCCCTTTATAAGTTGTTTATTGTGGTATGGTGCATGACAATCTGATGTTTATTTTCTTCGTTGCACTGCTAGGATTACATTAAAGATCCAGATAGGAAGTTTGTTGCTGACACAGTTGCTGCAATTGGTATATGTGCTCAAAGGATACCTTCTGTGGTTGATGCCTCCTTGGAGGGGCTGTTAGGTCTTGCTTCACAAGGTTAGTTTAACACGTGATTATATATACGTTACGTCATTTTGTTTTTTTATCGGACCTGGCTGAACGCTGTATCCGTCGACAGAATCATCAACTAGTAATGTATCCCAGAAGGATGGGGAAGCTTGTATTTTGGTGCAAGCAATCATGTCCATTAAGTCAATAATAAAACACAATCCAGCAAAGCATGAAAAGGTAGTCTTCTTAAGCTCTACTCGTGCTTTAGTTTATGTATGGATTTGCTGAAATAGTTATGCTAATATGTAGATTTGATATCCCTTGTTATGACTCGCAGAAGTAAATTTATTCCATGTCATATGGAGCATTTCATTTCAATTTGGTTCCACATCAACCATCATTGGGAAATGAAATGAAGTAAACAGGCCATTATAAACGTAGATATGCTATTGAAATATATGATTTTTTTTTTGGAATGGGGTAATTTAATTCTATTACTTGATAAACATGTGGTTAGTTTAGGTATTGTGATAATTTCTTTGTTCAATTTTTTTTCTCTCCACTTGTAGTTAAAATATGGAGAGAAATGAAATGCTTTCCTTTGTATTCATTTCCTATTTGCTCAACTTTACTTCCCGATTGAGATAAAGTAAATATTTTATAATAAGTGCTTTTCTCTTCTCTCTTATTACAAAAGGCCTATTAAAAAATTGAAAGATATTAATGGAAAGTTATAAGAGAAACTATGTTTTTTTAAAATGTAGAAATATGTATACTTTATAACTGCAATCTATTTCTCAATCATTCGGGTCATTGCCCATAAGATGTGCATTCATTATAATGCCATTTTATTTCTTTCATTAAGGTCTCATCAAATTTCTTTATGATTCTTGCTTAGTATGTACTTATATGAAATTTGCCTTATTTTTTTCTTTTGCGGGCTTAATTATTGAACTATTTGAAGAATTCAACAAGTCCAAAGAAGAGTGGGATGTATTATGTGCCCGAAATATGAACTTAATTAGACATGGTTCTGGTCTACTAATTGCCTTATTTTATCTTCATGACACTTTGAAAATCTAAAATTCCTTGCTGTGTGATTTATATGCATAAAAAGTAGTTTATTTATCTTAATCCTATGATTTCGATTTCTTTTTACTTACGAATCACGCAGTTTTTGGCATTTTCCTGATTTGCTTCTACTAGAACTATGCTAAGTAGTGCTTTTGCTGCCCGAGTGTCTTATTTTTGTGTTGATTTTTAATTTTTATATTTCTGGTTATAAAGGGCCATTTACATACATACGACAAAATTCTTATTATTTACGTATGTATCACCTAAACTCTCATATTTACATGCATACCACTCAAGTCTTTAACATTACATCAAAAATACTACCACCACTATTTTTTTAAAAAAATAAAATACACCATTTCATGTATAGGATTATGACACCAACACGTTAAAGTGTAAAAGCCAAACTTTGGGCGTTAGATATGTAAATACATAAGACTTGTGGGTTTTGTATGTAAATTTCCCTAATTTTTTGAACCTTATTTTAATTGAAAACATTTTTTTTCACTTTGAAGATTATTGCAAGATTAGCTCGCAAGCTGGATGTGGTGAAGGAACCAGCTGCACGTGCATTAATTATCTGGATTGTGGGAGAGTACTGCTCTATTGGGAAAATCATACCTAGTATAATTCCCACTGTAATGAAGTTTCTGGCATGGTCCTTCAACTCCGAAATGCTTGAAACTAAACATCAGATTCTCAACACTGCGGTTAAAGTACTTCCGACTTGCTCTTGTTAGCGTTATTCTTTTGCTATTTCTAGTACTCCAATGGATGATATATGATGGAAAGGTAGAAGTAAATATACATCGTCATGATTATTAGTAGGGATAATTACATACATAGCACCCAAAACATTGCTATTTACAAAATCTAGTACTCAGACGATATTTTTGAACTACCTAACCGATTTATGTACGCTGCCATAACGAAACCATTGAGAATTTGATAAAAATGAAAAACATTGGTGGGATTTTATCATTAATTTTGATGTTTGAGTGAGAATTTGAAAATTTGATGAAAGAGGTTGCTAGATTTGTATATAACAATGTTTGGTTGCTTTGTATGTAATTGGCCCTGAGTAGTTTTGATATGTTAATAGAAACTTCATCTGGTCAATTATCGATTTTGACAAAAATTTTCAAATCTCAAAATATGTATGTATAATAAAAACCTTTTAGAATTGACCCCATGATTATCTAAACTCTATTTTTACTGAATTTGTAGCTTGAGTAAGCACCCTAATGAGAGAAGAGTAACGATACCAAGATTACCTTTATTTGAGTCCAGTTAGCCTAAGTCAAGCATTCGAAAATATGTATGAAAATTTCACAAGACTATTTGAGGGACCAAACAACTACCCATCTTTGCATGCTTAGAGTCAAAACGAACTTCTTGACAATGAATCTGATTTGATTTCTGTAGAATTTTGAAAAAGAATGCTTTTATATTTTACGAAACCATTTATGGCTTCACCTTTTCCTTTAATTCTAGGTTATACTAAGCGCCCAAAAGGAGGATAGATTGATGTTTGAGAAAATCTTAAGTTATATTTTGCAACTCGCAAAATATGATGTAGATTATGACATTCGTGATCGTGCCCGCATGGCTGAAAACCTTATATCTCCATGTGAGGCTGAAGACCTAAACCCTAAGTGGCAAAATGGGAACAATGCCGGCGAACTTTTGGAAAACATTTTTCGGGGAAATAAACATTCCTCTCGATTGCCTGATCATGATTTTCGATTTTACCTTCCTGGTTCGCTTTCACATGTAGTACTTCATGCTGCTCCTGGATACGAGCCTCTTCCTAAGCCTCACAGTCTGCATGAGAATTTGTCGAATGGAATAGCTGATGAGGATGTGAGCAGAGCTTCATTTGATTCCGAGTCTTCTACCGATGAAAATGGATCATATAATGTTTCCGAGCCATCTGCTACGAGTTCAATAGAGAGTGATGGAAATGAGTCAGCAAGTGCTTCGCATGATCCAAATAATGATGAAGATAAGAATGAAAATCCACATTTTCATCCCTCTGAGTCTCATGTTGTTAATGATCAAACAAGTCGAACCGCAGCGAAAAATTTGTCAAAATCCATCTCTTCAGATCTAGTCGATTTGATGTCAAGGACAGCATTTGAATCATGGCTTGATGATCATCCAGGCTTACCATCCGAAACAAAACCGAGTAAATCGTCCTCTACTAGAATTTCTGTTAATGATCTTTGTTTTGCTATTTCTCGTAAACTTCACACGCTTCTAGATTCGGCGAATGGGAATGGCTTGAGGGTGGAGTATTCATTTTTATCTGAAGCTTCAGAACTTTCCCCTTCTCTAGTATGCATTGAACTATTGTTTTCAAACTGCTCAAATGAATTGTTAACTGGCATAACCATGGAAGATGGTGAGCCAAATAGAAGTTCTGAAGCTTCCGTGCAAGCGCTGGAGAAACCTGAAAGGTATTCCTGCCCAATATTATTATTCAACTTTTTTGGGGCATTTACATACATAACCACCCAATTCCTTTGTATTTACATATCTACTACTTAAAATTTACTTTTTACATCGAGTAAAGTGTTAATATAGCTCCCCGATTTTTTACATGTGCCGTTCTGGTCCTAGAGTTTATAAAAATGTCAAATTAGTCCCTAGGTTTATTAAATTGGGGCGAAAATAGTTTTTCTGGGATTATTTCCGCCCATATTAAAAGAATTTGGAGACCAAATTGACATTTTTATAGACTCCGGGACTAAAATAACCTTCTACAAAGTGTTGGAAAATTATTTTGACAATTCTCTTTTTACATTTAAATCACCTAAATCTTTCACACCACATAAAAAAATACTATCTTTTTAACTCCTAAAAATTGAAATACACCTTTTCATGTATAAGTAAGGTGGTATGTATGTAAAAGCTGAAGTTTAGATGTTAAACATGTGAATACTTAGGTATTGAGTGGTATGTATGCAAATCATCCAACTCTTTTTTAATTGATTTTTCTGGAGCCTGCTCTTATCTATTTTCTATACGTGATATTAAACTAGTCAATGTTAAATTGCAGCTCATTGACCGCTGATGATGGTTCAACTATAATTCCTATAGAAGAGATTATAGAACTGAATCCTGGTCAGACTGTAAAAAGAAATCTTCAAGTTCAATTTCATCATCATCTTTTACCTCTCAAATTAGCTGTGCTTTGCAATGGGAGAAGATATGCTGTGAAACTATGGCCAGACATTGGTTATTTCATAAAGCCCCTTTCTATGAATGTTAACATGTTTCTTGAAAAGGAATCAGAGTTAAAGGGAATGTTTGAATGTGCTAAAAGGTTTGTCCCAAATTTAAAAAATTTTACGTTTATCTATTATGCAAGATTCTCATCAGTTTTGATTTTTTCTTGTAACTTTCTGTCATTATGATAACAACATCAATTGGCAACAGCTGCTTGTTTGAAAGCCATATTGGAGATCTGAAGCATGAGGAGCAGAAGCATAGTTCATTTAGTACAGACAAGATTCTTGTAGTCTCTCGAAGCCTGGCATCAAAAGTACTCAGCCATGCTAACGTCTTCCTCGTCTCCATCGACATGCCCGCTTCGTTCAGCGACGATGATGCTTCTGGTTTACATTTACGTTTTAGTAGTGAAATATCTAGGATTTCAAAACCATGTCTTACAAGTATAGCAGTGATTGAAGGTAAATGTTATGAGCCATTAAATATCTCTGTGAAAATAAACTGTGAGGAAACAGTTTTTGGTCTTAATCTCTTAAACAGATTTGTATCTTTTCTACATTGAATAAAGTATCATTGTTTATTAACTTGAGCATTTGAATGCTTTTCATATTGTTTCATATTCATGTTTAAAAATTTGACAAATTTGAAGCAAGAATGGCTCAGATTGTGCTGTTCTGTCTAATAATTGAATTTTTGTTTACTGTGGTTTCCATTTTTATTGTAATGTTTTGTAGAAATAATGAAAGATGAAAATTTGAAATGTTTATTCTGGATTTATCTTGTTAAGATATTTGATTAGTTTAGTCATATTATGTGGCTCCTGAAGACTTGATAGAGAAGTAAGACTGAAAATGGAAAATACAGAGAGCAAGCCAAAGATAAATACCTGGGGGAATTCCTTCTCTGCACCGCCACTTTACTCGAGTACAATAAATTGATATATACAGGAACAATGAAACTTCTAGAGAAGTGAAATTACCTACATTGCCATTATCTTGTAACTCAGATCCACCTTACAATAGCTTGTCCCGCATATGTTGTTATCCCTCTTCAAGCTGATAGGTTTTGGAGCAAACCTGAAGCTTGGATTGCAGGAACTTGAACCTCTATTTCTGCGAAGGTTTAGTATAGATATCAGCAGACTGATCTTGTGTATTAATGTAGTGGATTTGAAGGAAGCCAACTTGTATTTGGTCTCGAATTAAATGGTAGTCAATCTCTATGTTAAATACGGACATCGAACACCTGATTAGTAGCGATCGCCATCGCCAAGAGGTTGTCACAGGAAATCTTTGTTGGATGAGATTAATCCGCACCAAATTCCACAATGAAACATCTTAACTAGTGCATGTCAGAGGTTGCAGCCGCTAGCACTCTATATTCAGCCTCGATGGAGGAACGAATAACTGTGTGTTGCTTTTTGACTACCTATGACATAGGAGTATTTACCAAGAATGTGTAGAAACCGGTGGTGGACCTGTGGTTTGCGGTATCCCCAGCTCAATCTGTATCCGTATAGGTGTTTTAGATTAGGTCACTCTGTGAGATCTTGATATCAAAGTTTAAGTGCCATATAGATACCATAATACACATTTCGGAAGCTAAAAATAATGAGTGGCATAAGTGTTTCACAACAAATGAGATATCAGATCTCGTGATGGTTAGGTATTGGAAAGCCTTTCTTAGTTGTCGGACTTTAGTTGGGTTCGCCATAGGTGTTGTGTTATTGAGGCCGTTGTTCCTCTTGCTTGGTAAAAGAGTAGAAACTGCTTCACAACCCAACATATCTGAATGGTGTAGAAGCTGGGTAAGATAGATTTGTTGGTCCATAAATAAGAAGTTGTCCGTACAAGTAAGGTCAATGCCTAAAAAGTTAGAGACAGGACCACTTTTTTGACTCGGAACTTGGAGCTGAGAAGAGTTGTGAGGGATTGAATGTAAGTCATACTTTCCCCGATTAATAATGTCTCATCGACATGGAGAAGCATAATGATCTTAGGACCGAAGTTGTGTGAGAAGCAATGAAGGATCTGTCTTGCTGATGTGAAAACCGGCCTGAATAAGAAGTTCAAAATAGTTGCAACCATTGTTGTGGTGACTGTTTGAGACTGTACAATGGATTTTTGAGAAGAAAAGCATGATTGGGAAGCTGTGGATCGATATAATCAGCCGGTTGCTTCATATAGCTGTTTCAAGCAATGTGTCATGGAGAAATACATTCGAGACATTGAATTATAACATTGACAGTTTTCTATTTAAAGCAATGGTGAAGAACACATGGAGAGTGTCATCTTGGCACCCGGACTAATTGTCTCGTAATAATTGAAGATGTATTTTTGATTGTAGCCTTGTGCGACAAGTTGGGCTTTATTCGTTGCCACCGACCCATCCAAGTTATATTTAGTACAGTAAGTCCAAAGTCACCCAAGAATTGATTTATTTGTTGGTGTTTGAACAAATACCCAAGTATCTCGAGCCTGAAGAGCGAAAAATCCCTCATTCATGGCCGACCTCCAGCAGGCATGCTTAGCGGCATCTGTGAAGGAAGTAGGATATGGAGGGTCTTTAAGTTGATGTAGGAGATTGAGCTTAGTAACTGGATTCAAATCTTCTGTCTTACATTTAGTAAGCATGGGTTGGGGCTGATGTGGAGCCACAGGCAGAGGCAATGGTGCGGGAGCTGTAAAGGGTAGTATTGAAGTGGTGGAAGAGTTGTTGAGCGGTGTGTGCGTGGTGGGTTGCAGAGGAGGGGCGGTCACAGGTAGGTAGGGTTGTAGGTGGTGAACATACAGATGCTGGGACAAGAATTAGGGGCGTGGCTGTGGAAATGGATTGGGTTGGAGCTGTAGTCGGAGATAGGCCTAATCGATATAGAAAGACATTTTCATCAATGCATTTGAGGCCCTTATGATCATGTGATTACCCTAGCAGTACACATGGTTGAGAGCGGGGTGCAAGTTTATGTGTTGTACATGATTGCAGCCATGGGTAACACTGACATCCAAACACTTTTAGATGAGAACTAGTTTGTTGTTGTCGAGGAGGATTTGAGTTTGGTATTTTTGGTTGACATTCTATTGATTAGATAAGCTGTAGTGAGTATAGTTTCCAGCCAAAAATGAATATGAGGAGAGACGTTGTAGAGCAGTGTTTGTGTGGTGTCAGTGAGATGCTGGTGGTTGTGTTCTGCAACCCCATTTTGTGCTGGAGAGTTTTGAAGTAGTGCACTTTTGTGTTCACGTCCACCATTGGATCGAAGGATACGAATGTCGATGTTAAATTGGGTGTGAAATATTTTAATGAATTGGATGCATTTATGGAAGGTTTTAACTTTGCTCATCATAGGGAAATACCCAACAAAAACATGAGAAATCATCAATAAGAAACAAATAATATTTATAGCCTTGAGTAGATAAGATTGGGGCTGGACCCCATAAATCAGAGTGCATTAAATACAAAGGGGCGTATGTATGTAAAGCAGGACACAAAAAAGGTTGTCTATGACTTTTGTTGCAACTGCAACTATTACATATAGGAGAGCGTATTTCTATGTCTAAATTTGATTGATTCTTAGAGATGAGCTTCATAACTTCTTGATGTGGATGTCCAAGGCGTTTATGCCAGAGAGGCGACTATTGTGTGGAAATAGCAAGAGCGTGGGTGGGATGCTGAAGAGGAGTGATCAGATATAACCTGTCAGAGTTGGTGCCCTAGAGTAAAGGTTACTTCCTCTTGGGATCAAAAATAGTAAATCCATTCAGGTCAAAGAGGATAGAAACATTATTATCATGAATCAATTTATGGACAGATAACATGTTATAAGAAAGGGGGAGAAAGTGTCATATTTGAGGTAAGAAGAGCTTACGATGAGATATTGAAAGAATGTCATCACAAGTATATGTGACCGGAATTGTTTGAAGTGCCGACCGTGGCCTGTTCAATACCTGTCGCCATAGCAGCTTGTTTTAAGTGGTCGAAATCCTAGGTAAGATGCGCAGCAGCACGAAAATCTAGGACCCCATTTGAAGCGGTTGTCTGCAAGGCTGGTTTGGGAGAGACATGCCCAAGATTGGACCTACGCCAACATATAGCCGCCGAGTGACCAAAGTTATTACAAATTTGGCAAATCACTGGAAGTCTTGGTGTGCCGAAAGGTAAATGCCTGGAGCAATTCCTTTTCTCCACTGTTACTTTAATATGTATATCTTGAAGACTGATATCCTGAAGACTGGATAGAGTTGAATTTGAGCGTTCATCATATTCAATAGATTATATATATATATATATATATAAATGCCTAAAAA